GTAATATTGTAGAACATTATCAAGTTACGGCATAGTTTCACAATGGTAATATTGTAGAACATTATCAAGTTACGGCATAGTTTCACAATGGTAATATTGTAGAACATTCTTAAGTTACGGCCTAGTTTCACAATGGTGATATTGTAGAACATTATTAAGTTACGACCTAGTTTCACAATGGTAATATTGTAGAACATTATTAAGTTACGGCATAGTTTCCCAATGGTGATATTGTAGAACATTATTAGATTACGGCATAGTTTCACAATGGTAATATTGTAGAACATTATCAAGTTACGGCATAGTTTCACAATGGTAATATTGTAGAACATTATCATGTTACGGCATAGTTTCACAATGGTAATATTGTAGAACATTATTAAGTTACGGCATAGTTTCCCAATGGTAATATTGTAGAACATTATCAAGTTACGGCATAGTTTCACAATGGTAATATTGTAGAACATTATCAAGTTACGGCATAGTTTCACAATGGTAATATTGTAGAACATTATCAAGTTACGGCATAGTTTCACAATGGTAATATTGTAGAACATTATCAAGTTACGGCATAGTTTCACAATGGTAATGTTGTTAATTCAAGAATATCTTCTTGAAAAGTTGAAGATTACTTTATGTCATTCTACTTTTGGTGCTTAACACTGATTTTCTTCGTTTCTGACGGTTTCAATGATATTGTTTAATTATTATAACAATACTTAATCTTCGTCTCTGACGGTTTCAATGATATTGTTTAATTATTATAACAATACTTAATCTTCGTCTCTGACGGTTTCAATGATATTGTTTCTCTATTATAACAATACTTAATCTTCGTCTCTGACGGTTTCAATGATATTGTTTATCTATTATAACAATACTTAATCTTCGTTTCTGACGGTTTCAATGATATTGTTTATCAATTATAACAATACTTAGTCTTTGTCTCTGACGGTTTCAATGATATTGTTTATCTATTATAACAATACTTAATCTTCGTTTCTGACGGTTTCAATGATATTGTTTATCAATTATAACAATACTTAGTCTTTGTCTCTGACGGTTTCAATGATATTGTTTATCAATTATAACAATATTTAATTTTCGTTTGACGGTTTCAATGATATTGTTTATCAATTATAACAATACTTAATCTTCGTCTCTGACGGTTTGGATGAGATTGTTTATCTATTATAACAATACTTAATCTTCGTCTCTCAGGGTTTGATGATAATATTTACTTATTATAACTGTACTTAATCTTGTTTAATTATTATAAGAATACTTAAACATACCTTCATTTCACTGCTGGAAAATTATTTCAGAATTACGTTTCTTTATAACAAGATCTGATAAAGACTTTACATTCATATCTGTAAGAAACAGTTAGTACCTTAAGGCTTAATTTTCTTTAATTCCACACCAAACTGTCTTGAGACATGACTGTCTTCCCTACTACAATTTTTGCTGTTTTCCTCTAAACTGTCGTGTTGTTCCCTTGTCATCCACACAAGTCTTCCTATTCACAATTCTAAACAGAAGTCATCGATTTTTCTAGACGAGTAACTCTCTCTTATCCGATTATTTATATCCAGGAAGACAACTTGAATTGTAGGTGGTTAAATAATGACGCTTCAGTAATATAGCTATCTAGAGAGGGCAACATTTGTAGCTATCTAGAGAGGGCAACATTTGTAGATACTTAATTTAGGGCCGTACTAGCAGTTAACAATTTCCAAGGTGTTAATTTATATATATTTAAAATATTTTTTACAATATGACATTCTCCTAAGCAGGGAGCGCAGATTCGTCAGAAGTTGAACATTGATCCACCAATCCACGCTTATGATCAGGACATTGGAATCAATACCCCTGTTCGATATAAAATCATCTTAGGTAAGGAAGAACGCCTTTTGATCATCAAAGAAATAGAGTCTGGTAAAGTTAAACTGGGAAATGAGGAAATCTAACTTTTTTTTTCATGTTGATCATAGTTTTTGATTAGGTGGCGTGACAGAGCTCAGAGTTGTGAACACTTTTAGCTGCAACTACTGAATAATAATGTTGACTGGCATCGTTTGATTTCTCTAACATCTATTATGTTCTACAGGAAATGACCACGGATTCTTTGAACTTGAGGAACAAATAGGAGACTTGTACCTAGTGAAAGAAGTCGATCTTGAAAGTCTGCCCAATCCAGTATTAAACCTTCAGATACA